ACTACATCTGATTAATTTTTGTAATTTTAGAAAAGACAGGGTTTTACAATGTTGCCCAGGTGGGTCTGGAACTCCTGGGCTCAAACCATCTGCCCACCTTGGTTTCCCATAGTACTGGGACTTACAGGTATGAGCCCCTGTACCTGGCCTGACTTTTTAATTTCAAATATGTCAAAATAATGATGGAACTGTAATTTGCATTGTGAGGGCAGTACCCCTGCAGCTGGTATGAACACCACAAAAAGGACATATCAACTCCAAAAGTCCAGACATGCCCAATTAATGTGAGAATGAGATATGGAGTTGCTCCTTGGGGTTACTCCCTGGAACTGCACCTGCCTGGAGGCCCTGTGCTGACTCCGTGTGCCCCCACTCCACTAGCTGCACCTTGGGATGCCTGCCATGCATCCAGGCATCTAACACATGAATATCTCCAGCAGCCCCATAGGCCCCCATGGGCAGCAGCATGCCCTTTGGCTGAATTTTCTGAGATTTTAGTATGGAGAAAGAAGAGCTGAATTTTGCTTATCATTCTCATCGCTTGTGGAGTACACAGGAATGCCATTAGACTTTGTTTTCCTCTAGCTCGCCTCAGAGGAACCCAAAAAAGGTTGCTTATGATGCAGGAAACTGGAAACTAGCTCATGGGCTCTGCCCACAGACTACTGAAAGGCTGAGTGAGTGAATCAATAGCTTGTGGCATACATGTAACACATCCATGGGAATATTTGTTAAGAAATCCACCCTGTGCTATTAATTATCCCTTCTCCTGCTTGTATTTTCCCTCCTCCCTCCCTCCCTCCCTCTCTTCCTTCCCTCCTTCCTTCCCTTCTTTCTTTCTCTTTCTCTCTCTCTGTCTCTTTCTTTCTTTCTTCTTTCTTANTATTTTCCCTCCTCCCTCCCTCCCTCCCTCTCTTCCTTCCCTCCTTCCTTCCCTTCTTTCTTTCTCTTTCTCTCTCTCTGTCTCTTTCTTTCTTTCTTCTTTCTTACTTTCTGACAAGAGCCTCACTCTGCTGCCCAGGCTGGAGTGCAGTGATGCCATCTCAGCTCACTTCAACCTCTGCCTCCTGGGTTCAAGCAATTCTCCTGCCTCAACCTCTGAGTCGCTGGGATTACAGGTATGCACCACCATATCTGGCTAATTTTTGTATTTTTAGTAGAGACGGGGTTTCACCATGTTGGCCAGGCTGGTCCTGAACTCCTGACCTCAAGTGATCGGCCCACCTGGGATTACGGGCATGAGCTACTGTGTTCCACCTCTCTCCTATATTTTCAACCTTTCTCTTTACTGGCCGTTTCACTTTGCAAATTACAATTAAAAGTTTATAAAATTAAAAAACAAAAACACTGAGGTGATGAATATGCTACTCTGATTTGATTATTACACACCATATACATGTTTCAAAATATCATGCTGTACCCCATAAATATCTACAATTATGTCAGTTAAAAATCATAAAAGAAAAAGCCCCAAAACAAAAAATAACTATCCATTTTTATTTTTTCCTCCAGCTACGACTCTGTCTTGCTTTCTCCAAACAGCTAAACTTCTAGAAAGAGTAATGTACACTTATTCTCACATTATCTCCAATCAGTCTTTTCTCAACCCATTGTAATCTAGATTTTAATAAAACTACACTTGAAAAGTTATAAATAAACTTCTTATTGCTGTATGTAATGGATAGTTCTCCATTCTTAACAGCATTTGATATAATCGACCATTTCTTCCTTCTTAGAAGATTCTTTTCCTTTGGCTTCTATGACATTACATTTTGAACAATAAATAAGTGTTGAACTACATAGTCTGGTGAACTAATAAAACACAATCTCTGCTCTAATGAAACATAAATAGAAATATACTGAATAATAATTTATTGAATTGTTGCTTGAATAATTGCTGAATAATGATCAATTATGGAAGTTCAAGAGTTCATTTGAAATTTTTTATTGACACTGAAATCAAGTAGAAATTCACTACATTGATTTCATTTACATGAATTTATAAGTATAAATTATCCCCTTATAATTAGTTTTTTAAAAGTGATGTCTAATAAATGGAAATTTCTTATGGTGACATTTCAATAGATCTTAACTCAATGGAAGTATCACAAAGAGTGGTGATTTAATTTAATCCAGGTAGATTAATTTCTGATGATCTCACCATTCCAGATTAGAACACATGAGACTGAATTGGCTAATAAATCCTGTAGCCCATCTCTAGCAAATATGTGTCCAGTAAGTCTTTGGATCTTACCCAATTTATGTTTGAATTCTTTGATTGTTGCATTACCCAAATCACCAAAGGACTCAATAACCTCTAAATGCCAGCACAAATGCAAAATGACAGTTTACTTGAATGTTTTGGAATCCTATTTGTTCCTGCAGAAAGAGCTCATACCCTTTTATCAACAGAAACCCAATTTATTGATTAATCTGAGAAATCAGGGGGCAGCAGAAAATATACTTATCAATCTATCATGTGCTATGTGTTAGGCCTGGCTCAGCAAGTATAAAGAATATGGTAAAACTGGATTCTGGAATCTTACAATCTAGTCAGAAAGCAAATAAAAAGACTTTGCTTTAAGGTCGGGTGCAGTGGCCCATGCCTGTAACCCCAACACTTTGGGAGGCCAAAGTGGACAAAGCACTTGAGGCCAGGAATTGAAGACCAGCCTGGTCAAGTGGTGAAACCCCCTCTCTACTACAAATTTAAAAATCAGCTGGGCATGGTGGTGTGCACTTGTAGTCCCAGCTACTCAGGATGCGGAGGCACAGGAATTGCTTGAACCTGGAAGGCAGAGGTTGCAGTGAGCCAAGATGGCACCACTGTACTACAGCCTGGGCAACAGAGCAAGGCCCTGTCCAAAAAAAAAAAAAAAAAGACTTTTCTTTAACATAAAGCTCACCACCCAGAATCCCTTCTAATTTTTAAATTTTTATTTCTTCTAGAATGTCTTCTAATTTTCTCATTTTTGTTTCTTCTCTCATAAAAACGCATTCAACAAACTCATTTAAGGAATATTTGTTGACTTCATATGATGATGTGCCAATCACTATGATGCTAAGCAAATATGGCTCCTACTGTCATAGACCTTTTTAGTGAGGAGAGAGAGACAATACACAAACAAATCATTGTTTCTTATCATGACAATTACTATGAAAACAATAAGCAAGGTAACATGGAGAGTGACTGGGGTGCCATGTTAGTTGGGTGGTCAAGGAATGCCTCTCTGATGTGGTGACATCAGCTGAAGTCTGAGACAAGAAGCCATGTTGAACATCTGGAAGAACAGTGTTCTAGAAGAGGGAACATCAATTGCAAAGGCCCTGGCCCCAGAAGGAACTCAGCATGTCCCAGGATCAAAATGAGTATTAGTTACCAATACTGATTATCTCAGGGATTTATTTGGTTCTATAAAGACTTACAAGCCAAGGTCTCTGTCCTAAAGGAGCTCTGTAACAGAGACAGACATAAGTAAGAAAGATCATAATGCAGTGCAGCAGTACATTGCAGTGACAGCAGTATGGACAAGCTAAGGACTAAGAAGGAAGACAGTAATTCTCTGGGGTGTGTTTCAGGGTAGGCATCACAAAGGTGGTGATGTAAAAGCAGAATTTTGCAATATCAATAGAATTGACAAAGCAGGAAATAGAGTTGTGCTGAGGTAACAATGCACAGAGAACACTGAGGGCAAAGACCTCCAGGCTGCTGCTTATTAGTGAACACTGCAATAGAAGAAAGTGATGCTCAAAAGGCACAGAGGCCAAGCCATCATGGGCCTTATGTTCTGTGCATGACTGGAGCTACCAAAAGACTCTGAGGAAGGCAACTCGGGGTTGGACTTTTTTTACATGACCATCTCTCTTAATTTATGTCGGCGGGAGAGTAAATGTGAAATGATAAAATGGCAAAGGAACTCAGAAAGTGATGAGAAACCTGAGAGGCTTTTAGGGGTTGATAAAATGAGTAGGACTTGGATTACCCACTGTTTAGTCACTAATAACTTCCAGTGCCTGGTACTAATAAATACTTGAGGAAGGAATGTATGAAAATGAGTAGTGATTGGCTGGGTGTGGCAGCACCGTGTCCGATAAGCGGAAGTTATGAGCCCCACATTAACAGACATTGAGCGCTTAAACCCGTTTTTAGATGTGTTGTTTTAATTCTAATAACCATATACGCATTTCCACTTTTCAGATGAGAAAATTCTTAGGCTCAGAGAGATCACGGTACCCTGACAGCAGTTCTAGAACTCGTTAGAAACTTGGCTCAAGAGGATGTGACAGGACGGGCGCGGTGGCTCACGCCTGTAATCCCAGCACTTTGGGAGGCCGAGGCTGGTGGATCACGAGGTCAAGAGATCGAGACCATCATGGTCAACATGGTGAAACCCCGTCTCTACTAAAAATACAAAAAATCAGCTGGGCATGGTGGCGCATGCCTGTAATCCCAGCTACTCAGGAGG